TCCTGCCAGTAAGGGCATCACAATATTTTAAGCTGTAAATGTATAAGAGATACAGGACAAAGGAGCTACTCAGGTACTTTTGAACCTCGGAATAGGAAGAAAAGTTTCTCCTTTTAGTCTCCTGTTCTTTTTGGAAGGTGATAAATTGCCTGAGTGCTAGTGAACTGTTACTCAGTTCCTTTTTTTGTGTGGTTCAAAATCATTAATTAAATGTCTGGTTGTAATGTTTCAGCATAATTCAGCAGTGGTAGAAAATTTTGCTTGAAAGAAAACATTGCTTTGTTATTTGCCTGCCTTTGTTTTCTCTAATCGATATAGTTTGCTCCCAAATCCTCTTTGCTCGTAAAGTTTCTACAAACACCAAGAATTTCTAAATGAGAGGATGCAATTAGAACCTGCCTCTTGGCACCGTGAGCTCCTCTCAGAGGGTAAGACTTGACACCTCATTATATAGCCAGAGTGGCACTTCTGGAGCTGTACCAATGACTGTTCAAGGAGTAAACCTGTGGTTCTGTCTGTCTTTGTGGCTTTTTCAGGAGTGCCAGACCGAAGGGTTTGCCCCTGGAGTCCCCCACTGCAAGGGAGCAGTTGTGCAGTGACTCCCATGCCTGCATCAGAGCAGGAAGGGCTGGTTTGCTCCACACTATGTGATATGGTGGTTTTAACTTCTGTTGCCAGTGCTGCAGATAAGGGTTTGAGAAGATTTTTGTGGCATTTGAGACTTCCAGAGGCACTAGGGCCCTGTCGTGTAGCTTTCCAGACTTCATCTTGACAGCGAGTCAGGCTCTGGCTGACAGTCCCCATCCCAACAGATTGTCATTGTTCAGTTACTGAACTCCATGTAATCTGGGCATGAATGGAATTTCTTGTGTGTCTTATGGAATAACCTTTTGCATCATTAGTATCTGCGATAATTTTTTCCTTTGCAAAGTGATTCATGTCATCTTGCAGATAGGAAAGACAGAGCGTTATTCTGCAGTCCCACAAGAAACCCTATTGATTCACAGCTTGTTGTGAAGCCAGTCCTGTATCCTCGGGATGGGGTTGGTTTTGTGGCAGCAGTCCTAACTGCAGAGTCTTCATGCAGTGTTTCTGCACTGGGGGCTCTTCAGAGTCACAGCTGGAACAAGGTGCCAGGCTGGAGAGGAAAAAGTATGAGAGCTCCTGATGTTTTTAGTTTTTAGTGTTGCTCCTCATAAAGAGTAGGTTTTAGTCACCCACCGAAAGTCACAACAAAACCTGCTGGAGCTCAGCTTGGGGCCAGATCCCCAGATCTGATAACAGGAATGCTCTTGGGCTCTGTCCTGACTAGGTTTACATGCTGGATCATGTTCGATGGATCACTCACATGAAGCTGCAAGCTGAGCTTGTGCCACTTTGGTCAAGCCAATGGGAAAGTGGGAATAATAGTTTCTACTCTGCAGCTATCTGCATTTGTGCTACTTCAGCCCTTGAGTAACCTGAGCATGTTTCTGCAGACAGTGATGATAAAGAAATGAATAAATCATCACTGAGGACATGTCAGTTAATATGGTGGAAAAGAGGATATTGGGGATTTGCTGTGGATTCTTTGATTGCTTCCCTCTGTGGCACAGCAGTAAAGGGTGCTGACAACAGAGCTGGGGGTAGCAATGCTGTGTTGGCCTTGGCAAGGCTGTGTTTGGGTTATGTTGAGTTGCAGTAGTGCCAGAGAAATACAGGCAGGTTGGAAAGGATTATTTGGGAAGTATGAAGTGGAGATGGTGGGAAGAGATTGTTACTGGGCATAGCTGGGAATACAAAGCTGAACTAAGAGTCAGTCTAGGCTGGGAGTCTAGGAGACGTTGTCATCAAAGAACTTGGGGAATAATCTTAGAAATGCAGAAATCTTCATTGTTTGCTGGTGACTTAAAAGGCTGGAGGAACTGGCTTAGTCCCAGTGGTAGGGATACATGTGTAGGGAGGAAATTACCCTTGGACTGCTAGAGGAGAAGGAGACAGTGAGTCTAATACATTATTAATCTAATTAAGAAATAACTTAATCAAGATGTAATTATTTCCCAAATTAGGTAGAAAGCCAGACTGTCCTTTGCTGGTAGAAGGAAGTCCTTGCTGTGTATGGCACAGAGGGAGGGAGAGGTCCTGAGGAAGTCTCATGCTTTTTCAGCAGCAATGTTAATTCTTCACCATATCTGCTGTCCTAAAGTTCTCTGCTTTATCCAAATGCTATATAATCTCAGGACATGCCAGAGGGCTTGTTTGTGGTCGGTGGAGGCTCAGAAAAGGACAGGCAGCAGACCTCTGAGCCTGGATGTGTGAGAAGGCACTCCAAAGGGCCTGTGGATCCCTGGACTCTTTGGAGGCCTAGGAGCATGGGTTTTCCTGCCTGAACAAAGCCCATGGAGTGTGATGAGGTGAAGACTTCGGGGAGCCAATAGCAGTGTGTGAGCTGTGGCTCTGATTCAGCAGGGCTCAGCATACCTGAGAGCAGTGACTGCAGGGTGTGGATCGTGTTGCCTGGGCTATGTGTGGTGGTGTGAGCACCCTGGGGTGTAAAACGGTTGTCTACGCCCTTCGTGCCCTGGCAGCTTGACTCACTGCTGTGCTGGGCACACCTCATGCCTCTGAGCATCCCTGGGGAGGCCCTCCCGTGCCGGGGGCTTTGGGGCAGTGCCAGGGGGTGCAGGGGGAGCAGGACTGGCACGGGGCGTGCCGAGGAGCAGCTTGGCCCACAGTGTTCCATAGGCGGGTGGCAGCCTGTCCCAGATACCAGCGTGGTAGTGGGAGCAGCTCTTCGTCTTGATTGCAGTTGTTTCAGTGCTTTACAGAAGCCAAAAAACAAAGTGGGAAGGTTTCTTTACCCTTACCTGTGCATTTCTGCACAAGTGCAATGAGCACAAAGTCATAGAATCATAGAATTTTAGGGGTTGGAATGGAGTTCAGAGTTCACCCAGCCCCAACCCCTGCCCTGGGCAGGGACACCTCCCACCAGAGCAGGTTGCTCAAGGCTCATCCAACCTGGCTGTGAACACTGCCAGGGTTGGGGCAGCCACAGCCTCCTTGGGCAACCTGGGACAGTGTCTCACCACCCTCATAGCAAAAACATTTTCCTAATATCTAGACTAAATTTCCTTCAATTTGAATCCATTACCCCTTGTCCTTTCCCTGCAGTTCCCAATCAAGAGTCCCTCTGCAGCTTCCCTGGAGCCCCTTCAGCTCCTGGAAGGTGCTTTGAGGTCTCCACACAACCTTCTCTTTGCCAGCTGAACAGCCCCAACTCCCTCAGCCTGTCTTAAAGTCCATCCAACACTCTCAAACCTGTGCTTCTCAGTTTCTGATTAAGGCTTTAAATCACACAAAATGTGGATGCTCAGCAGTCATGTGCTAACCCCAGTAGTTAATGATGACAGCACCAAACTCCTGTGGCACTTGCCTTCTGTGTGGTGTGTTTGTGCAGGCTCATGAGCTAAGCTGGGTGGGACGTCATGTGCATGGAGGGCAGTGCTTTCATCGGGTGCAGGTCTGGCCTTTCACAGAGTGGTGGCTATTTACCTTTGAAAACAGCAAAATAAACCCATGCTGTGGTGTGACTTAGCAGTGATATAATCGTGTTATACAACACAGATTTCTATTTGAACAGGGGTACAAGGTGCCCAGAGTTTCTTTGGGGTGTTTTAATTTGATTTTTGAAGTAGTAAAGAAAGATGAAGATATGTCTAAAATTCAAGACCCTTAAGTTTTTCTGTCTTTGCATAACAAAGTTAAACAGCATTTGGTTTTTTCCTGGTGCAGTTCTGACTGTGATGACAGGAAATGCAGCTGGAAATGGCTATACTAAGTGTAAAACACACAATTCCTAGTTTTCGTAGGCTTAACCTTTATACAGATGTTACTATCCCTGATGCCTCCACCAGTGGAGTTATTGTATTAAACGTGCTGCTATTTATGGGTTGAAAGAGAAACAGTTATTCCTCCTTAAAATATTTGCCATGGTCTCAGAGCCCTTGGTGAGAGGCTGATGGAAGGCAGTGTGGCCTTTACTAAAGGCTGCTCATTCTTAGAGGCATTGAGCTACTTTGCTGCAGGCTGTTCAGAGCTTTTTATAATCCAGAGAGCTCGGAAATAATGAGAGTGCTTTTCATTACTGCCCTTTGCCTTATCTACAGAGCCCTGGAAAATGAGTCAGAAATTCACAACAGGATCAAAATGTTTTGCTCCATTAGAATTAAATGCAATGCTTTGCTCATTCTGGGGAGGAAAAAAACAAGTCTGAAAAAGCTAATGAGTGGTTAAAATAGAGCTGTTCAAACGGCAACACACAGATAGGCTGGGTGTAAATATAGGGCAGCTCCTCAGCACCGTTCTCCTGTGGTACATCCGAGTGAAGGAAAGCCATCAGCCTACGCTTGTTCAGAGCAGCTTCCCCTGTGTGCTGGGGGCTGTGGTTAGTGCCTGTCCCCTGTGTGCTGGAGGTTGTCCCCTGTGTGCTGGGGGCTGTGGTTAGTGCCAGATGTTTGGTAGTAGACAAGGCTGCACAAGACATGGAAATGATAACAATTCTCTCCTGTTTTTCCCCTTGCAGGGCCCTGCCTCAGTGATGTGAGCAGGGAATCTCACAAGTGCACTGTGGATTTTCGGGCTGTGCATGCTACTTGATTATCTGTCTTTTACTGACCCACCCAGAAAGAGAGAAGGTTCAAACAATCATTGTCTTGTCACTTCTGCCTAGGAACTGTCTGGATTTTATGGCACCTGCTGGAAAAGCTACCTGGACCATTGGAAATGCACCTCTGAGCAAGGCTTTCTGTGTGGAGTACGAGGATCAAGCTGCCTTAAGTTAAACCACATGCAAGTTGCACTAATTGTCGTGACTGGACTGCCAGTACCACTCCAGACTTCTCCAGGCCTTTCCAAGGCAGTAGCTGCTCACGTAGTTGGGATGTTTTCATTGACATTTGAATGTTTTTATTCAATCTGGTGTGGCTGTGAAAAGTGTGGGTGAGTTTTTCCCTGTGGAGTTCATGGTGAGTTTTCAAGCCTCACTTCCAAGCGTGGTCTGTGCTATGGCAGCAACCTACAGGCTCATGGTCACTTCTGTGAACTGCTACAGCAGTGTGGTGATAGAGCAGCACTTCCAGCACACTGTGCACTACTGCACGGGCACTTGCCAAGTGTTCAAGCGAGGTGTGACGTGCATAGTTGCCCACCACAGTGTCTGTGCAGAGCTCAGTGTCCCAGATGCCAACCTAGACCCTAAAACTCCTGTTCCTGAAAATGGACTTACCTTGCCTGGAAATGGGGACTATCACCAAATCTTCCCAAATAGTCCGAGAATCAAAAAGGGCTCTTCAGTGCAAGCCTCCAGCAGTTTGAAAGACATTACTGGTGAGGCAATAAACCTTGCCAGTGGTAAAACAAAGGAATTCTCCTTTGAGAAGCTCAAAAACTCCTCCAGTCATGTGGCTTACAGAAAGGGAAGGAAAGTTCGGTCGGAATCTTTCAGCAGACGATCCTTCGATTTTGACTTGATTTATGGACACTTCAACAATGATGAGAACTGCCCTCCGTGTGGCTTTTTGCAGAGTCCCTCACCTGTGGAGAAATGGCAGGAGAGCAATGATGCTCCAGAAGTCACCATGAATCCCCTGGTTCCCTTCTCCCCTCATTCCTTCTCTGAAGAAAACTTCATTACCCAGATTTTGGAAAAGCACAAGCTAGACGGTGGTTCTGGTGGGGATATTAAGGTGTGCTTGGACATCTTGCTCAAGTGCTCAGAGGATCTGAAGAAGTGCACAGATATCATAAAACATTGCATCAAAAAGAAGTCTGCAGACAGCGTTAGTGGGGGGAACAGCAATGATCCCCTGGCTAGTTCTGAAATGATCTACATGAACCTGATGACAAGATTTTCCTCCTACCTGAAGAAGCTTCCCCTGGAGCTGAAGCCACTGGGGCAGAAGGAAGTGAGTGACTGGGCAGAACTCCTGAACTGCTTTCATGGCTTGCAGCAAACTCCCTTTCCCCCAGTGTTTGGCGATGAGCAGCCACCCAGGTACGAGGACATTATGCAGCTGCCATCCTCAAGTGCAGTTCCTCTTGCACTGCCAGGGGATCAGTGTGAGGAGACAAGTGCCTCTCAGTCCATGCAAACAGGTACCGTGAGCTTCACCTCAAGCTCCCTCCCCAGCATCCCCCAGGAGGGCAGTGGGAGAGCTGTGCAAGGTGCTCTACCTCAGTTCCCAGCCACAAGCCCCTCTGACTGCACAGCTTCCATCGAGGCACTGTACATTGAGGAGGAGTCTGATGGGGAAAGAGCAGTAGGGAAGGGAAAGCAGGTGGAGCAGAATGGGGTCTGGGAGAGTTTGGGGCACAGCTGCCAGCGAGCTGGCTCTTCAGATGTGAAAGCAGAGTGTGCCAGAGTGGGAGATGCTGAGCTCTCCCAAACGTCCGAGAAACTGACTCCATTAAAGCCAGGTTCGGATTCTGTGTTGTGTGGGGCCCAAGCTGGTGTCTCCAGAGGAGACCAGACATGCAGTAAGGTGGACAAGGAGGAGATAGACAAACTGCTGCTGGACTTGGAGTGCTTCTCACAGAAAATGGAGAGTACCTTGAGGGAGCCCTCTGGGAAGGAGGTGTTTGGCAGGCAGGGGAAGCAGGTTCTACCTCTGGCTCCTGAACCCAAAAGCAAACCTGCTGACCCCACCTCTTTGTCAAATATCATGGAAACCAATGGTCACAAGATGGAGGAGGATGACAAAGCCCTTTTACTGCGCATCCTGGGAAGCATCGAGGACTTTGCCCAGGAGCTGGTGGAATTCCAGACAGGCAAGGGGAGCTTGTCCAAGGAGAGGGAAGTGATGCAGATTCTTCAGGAAACTTTAGCAGCTCCTTCGCAGTCCCTCCCTGCAGGGCAAAAAAGCCATGCTGGGGCTGCCTCCAAGGACTCTGTTCCAGCTTCAATTCAACAGGCCCCAGAAGTCATTAAGGTAAGACAACCAAACTTTTAATGGGATGGGAAAATGCAGGGGGGAAAAATTACATCTGCTAAGTGACTCATCGTGCTTTGGGTGCTGCAGTGTGGAATATGTGTTCAGCCTGGCAGGAATGTAGCATTTATTTAAATACAAACAAGGAAAGGAAGCTAAAACACCTAAGCACACAAAATAGGTCCTGATGTGCAGCTTCACCTTTGAGCTTGACCTTTTCCTGCTGGTGCTCCTGGGGACTGTTTGCTTGTGGTTTAAATGGGCCCTATGTAACAGAAGGTCGTAATAATGACTTTAGTAAGTCCTTTACTCCTGGGGGCAGCTCCTGGGCTGCGTCTCTCCAGTTCAGTGGGAACTGAATGTTCCACCTCTCCCTTTCCCATCTCCGAGCAGACTCCAACAGCCTTTGTTGTTCTCCTCATCACTATTCCTAAAGAGAGATATCCTCCATGGCACAAAGGGCTGAATCTAGGAAGATTTAATTTTCCTTTCCCTGTCCTCAGTGCATGGAGTCATTGTGGAGTCTGCACTGTATGTACCTCTCGAATGAGGGTGGGTTTTCCCAGGACAGAGGGTGTTGATGGGATCCTGCTTTAGGGGGAAGCCAAGGCTGTCCAGCACTCCATGCTTGTCGTTTGATAACAACGGCCAAATTCCAAGAAAACTTGTTGTCATACTTCCAAGTGCACAGAAAGCACAGAGAGGGCTTTCCAGAGATTCCAAAATCCACCTTCGAGTACCCAGGTTATAAGTGAACTGTCACAGCTCCCTCCAGCTGGAGCATGATGTGCATGGTTTCAGAACTGTCCACTGTCCCCAAAATACAGGTGTTTGGTGCACCTCTGAAGGGGTGGGTGAGGTGTGTCTGACCCTAAGTGGCAGTGCTGAGATCCATTCAGTTCCCTCCAGGTCTCTCTGTTGTTGCTCTGGGTAAGTTGGCTTACAGAAAATGGTGGGCAT